ATTCCCAGGCCTTTTACATTAGTTTTTCACTCTATTATGTCGTTGGAGTTTGTTTTATACCCTTATACAGTTTTAATTTCCTCACGTTTTCCACATTAGAGTAATTGAAATTTCTCATCATTGATCTTCATAGTGTTTTCTACAGCCCATTTAAAGATTTGGTTGATGTCTGCCTGGAGTCTTGCATTATCTTCAACAGAGGACACTGTCATGCAAATTCAGATGTTATCTGCGAAGGAAGACACGGTGCTGTGGCTTACATCCCTGTCTATGTCAGATATGAGGATGAGGAACAGGATGGGAGCAAGTACAGTGGGACCTTGAGTTTCGGCCGTAACCGTTCCAGAAGCTCGGCTGAAACTCAAAACGGCCGAAAGTCAAAGCAATATTTCCCTAAGAAATAATGTAATCCAATTAATCCATTCCAGATTCAAAAAATATTCAAAAATTTACATTTTTTAAAGAATAATTATAGTTTTACATACACAAAGCAATTATAAATACATATACTACTTAAATGAATAAGAAATAGATAAAAAAACATTTAAAATCACATTTACTTTTGTGATGAATGGTTTGAAAAACCGACAATTGAAGATTGAGACACTTATGTAACATATGGGAATCTTTATTCAGGAAAACGTTTCGCCACACAGTGGCTTCATCAGTCCAATACAAAGTAGAAAGGCGTAAGGAGAGGAGGAGTTTGAGGTAATCAGTCCCTCAGTCTGGAGTCGATGAGTTCAGTCCATCAATCTTGTAGAATGTACAGCATAGGGCTGTAGACGTGGCTTATATACTGTAGTCAGGTGAGGCGAAGCATGAAGAGGCGGGATCATACTGGTATCATCCACTCGTCGAAGTAGGTCTTCGTCCAAAGACCTACTGTTGGCATCTGGAAGGTAGGGAGGAGGAATGAGGGAGGACTTATTACTGTTTGGAAAGGGAATCCCCCTCAACCACTGCCTCCATCATGTTCCAACATTTACACTCAAGAGTAGAACTATTATTATCTCATACAGTGAAGGCCAGTTAAGGTCTCTTAACAATAACCAGGTATGTTGGGCTGCAATCATTCACATTATAGACTCATAGGTCTTACTAGTTCCATCTGCATATTAATGGAACCTGTGTTTAACAGAAGACTAATGTGGTACTTGGAGGCAACTGTATATTCCCACAGTAGGTTGGATGCAGAAGGAACCATTTTACAATTGATATTATACGCTGGCTTGATGTGTACATTTGCAGTGCCATTGCTGAAGGTCAGTTTGTGGTGGCAGCTTATGATGCTTCATGACAATATCACATATCTGAGGTCCATTATTTTGTTGAAAATAAGAAAAAGTTTTGGAGTGAGATTAACAAGTTAAGAAAGCCTAGAGAACAAATGGATTTGTCAGTTAAAAATAGGAGAGGCGAGTTATTAAATGGAGAGTTAGAGGTATTGGGAAGATGGAGGGAATATTTTGAGGAATTGTTAAATGTTGATGAAGATAGGGAAGCTGTGATTTCGTGTATAGGACAAGGAGGAATAACATCTTGTAGGAGTGAGGAAGAGCCAGTTGTGAGTGTGGGGGAAGTTCGTGAGGCAGTAGGTAAAATGAAAGGGGGTAAGGCAGCTGGGATTGATGGGTAAAGATAGAAATGTTAAAAGCAGGTGGGGATATAGTTTTGGAGTGGTTGGTGCAATTATTTAATAAATGTATGGAAGAGGGTAAGGTACCTAGGGATTGGCAGAGAGCATGCATAGTTCCTTTGTATAAAGGCAAAAGGGATAAAAGAGAGTGCAAAAATTATAGGGGGATAAGTCTGCTGAGTATACCTGGTAAAGTGTATGGTAGAGTTATTATTGAAAGAATTAAGAGTAAGACGGAGAATAGGATAGCAGATGAACAAGGAGGCTTTAGGAAAGGTAGGGGGTGTGTGGACCAGGTGTTTACAGTGAAACATATAAGTGAACAGTATTTAGATAAGGCTAAAGAGGTCTTTGTGCCATTTATGGATTTGGAAAAGGCGTATGACAGGGTGGATAGGGGGGCAATGTGGCAGATGTTGCAAGTGTATGGTGTAGGAGGTAGGTTACTGAAAGCAGTGAAGAGTTTTTACGAGGATAGTGAGGCTGAAGTTAGAGTATGTAGGAAAGAGGGAAATTATTTCCCACTAAAAGTAGGCCTTAGACAAGGATGTGTGATGTCACCGTGGTTGTTTAATATATTTATAGATGGGGTTGTAAGAGAAGTAAATGCGAGGGTCTTGGCAAGAGGCGTGGAGTTAAAAGATAAAGAATCACACACAAAGTGGGAGTTGTCACAGCTGCTCTTTGCTGATGACACTGTGCTCTTGGGAGATTCTGAAGAGAAGTTGCAGAGATTGGTGGATGAATTTGGTAGGGTGTGCAAAAGAAGAAAATTAAAGGTGAATACAGGAAAGAGTAAGGTTATGAGGATAACAAAAAGATTAGGTGATGAAAGATTGAATATCAGATTGGAGGGAGAGAGTATGGAGGAGGTGAATGTATTCAGATATTTGGGAGTGGATGTGTCAGCGGATGGGTCTATGAAAGATGAGGTGAATCATAGAATTGATGAGGGGAAAAGAGTGAGTGGTGCACTTAGGAGTCTGTGGAGACAAAGAACTTTGTCCTTGGAGGCAAAGAGGGGAATGTATGAGAGTATAGTTTTACCAACGCTCTTATATGGGTGTGAAGCATGGGTGATGAATGTTGCAGCGAGAAGAAGGCTGGAGGCAGTGGAGATGTCATGTCTGAGGGCAATGTGTGGTGTGAATATAATGCAGAGAATTCGTAGTTTGGAAGTTAGGAGGAGGTGCGGGATTAGCAAAACTGTTGTCCAGAGGGCTGAGGAAGGGTTGTTGAGGTGGTTCGGACATGTAGAGAGAATGGAGCGAAACAGAATGACTTCAAGAGTGTATCAGTCTGTAGTGGAAGGAAGGCGGGGTAGGGGTCGGCCTAGGAAAGGTTGGAGAGAGGGGGTAAAGGAGGTTTTGTGTGTGAGGGGCTTGGACTTCCAGCAGGCATGCGTGAGCGTGTTTGATAGGAGTGAATGGAGACAAATGGTTTTTAATACTTGACGTGCTGTTGGAGTGTGAGCAAAGTAACATTTATGAAGGGGTTCAGGGAAACCGGACTTGAGTCCCGGAGATGGGAAGTACAGTGCCTGCACTCTGAAGGAGGGGTGTTAATGTTGCAGTTTAAAAACTGTAGTGTAAAGCACCCTTCTGGCAAGACAGTGATGGAGTGAATGATGGTGAAAGTTTTTCTTTTTCGGGCCACCCTGCCTTGGTGGGAATCGGCCAGTGTGATAATAAAAAAATAATAATAATTATTTTGGACTGTAAGGACAACTTTCATGTTTCCTCAAGTCCTTTATGACAGATCAATACTATTTCAGTGTCCAGATTAATAACAATTTCTCACCTGACTGTTCAAGCAGAAGGTATTCCACAAAGTGTATTCTTAGCACAACCTTCTACTCAGTCGATAAAACAAGTGGAGTTCTAAAGAAATAACTATGAATTTAGTCGACTGGAACAATGGAATTGGTTGAAAATAGGACTCAAAGTGGGCAAAAATGCCAATGCATAAATGTTGCCAATATTGCTAACTTTACTAAGACGTAGTTATGTAAGTTTTCCATAAAATTTCGTACTTTTGGTGTCATTACCATCAGGAAAAGATTCTCTATCATTTCATAAGATTTTTTTTTTTTTTTTTTTAAATTTTTCGACCCTGAGAGTGAGTTAAGGATCGGGGGTATCAATTTTGAAAGGGTTAATGGTGATTGTGGTGGACAAAGATGAGATTATTTTGTGTTGATTGTACACAATAAACAATTGTATAATCTTGCAACTTTGTTGTGTCAGAATTAATTGTTGCAGAGATTTTTGTTGAGTATTTTCCACTTTGTTAAAGTGAACTGTGTTAAACTCTGACTTTACTGAATTTCCTATTATTGATAGTTTCCCTCAGCCTTGTAGTGATCTCTCACCTATACTGGTGTCACACATTTACTGAATACTGTATACTAATAATAATAATAATAATAATAATAATAATAATAATAATAATAATAATAATAATGAAGATAAAGATAAATTTTAAATTTTCTTTGCAGGTCATCCTGGTACAAGAGGCTGATACTTGCAGTGTCAATACTGCAGGTAATCATGACACCAGAGTCTGGCACTTGGAGTGTCAATACCACAGGTCATTCTGACACCGCTGTCTGGCACTTGTAGTGTCAATACTACAGGTCATCCTGACACCAGGGTCTGGTACTTGTAGTGTCAGTAATGCAGGTTATCCTGACACCAGAGTCTGGCACTTGTAGTGTCAATACTACAGGTCATTCTGACACCATTGTCTGGCACTTGTAGTGTCAATACTACAGGTCATCCTGACACCAGAGTCTGGCACTTGTAGTGTCAATACTACAGGTCATTCTGACACCATTGTCTGGCACTTGTAGTGTCAATACTACAGGTCATCCTGACACCAGAGTCTGGTACTTGTAGTGTCAATGTCAATGATAGAAATTTTGTGTAAGCTCTGTAAATAATGTAGTGCATATATACTTACAGGACTAACTATACTTACAGGACTAACTATACTTACAGGACTAACTATAGTCTTTTATTACAGTTACAAGACTAACTACAGTGTTAATACAATGGCAACACTCAATACAGTGTAAATAATAGTGACAGTAACTACAGTGTGAATAATACAGTGACAACACTATAACAGCAGTGTTGGTAATACAACATTTATAGTGCCAACAAGAGTGTCATAAGGTTAATGTGTCATAAACACTGAAACATCTGCTAGTGTAACCCTTCCTATTCCTCAGACACTATATTACCCTTACAGGTTTAGTGCTTGTTATATATATATATATATAATAATAATAATAGAATATTACAGAAATATTAGTTTTCATTGTAATAAAATGTTCTCAAGATCTCTAGATAAGCAGTTTAATATGTGAGAATATTATTGTTCAGTATGTCTAATATACCTGAAAAACAATGTGTTGAAGCTACACAATGTACAGTTGTTCATGTAGGTGACCAACTAGATCAACATTCACACTCGCTCAAACAGCCTTCCTCGCAACAACCTCAGTGTGTATCACTGACCAGATTTATTAAAGATAAAACACTTCGGTGTTCAGTGTGTCTTAAAGCATTTTCTAAAAAATCAACTTTAAAAAGTCACATGAGAACGCATACTGGAGAGAAACAGTATGAGTGTTTTGAATGTTTGAGAGACTTTTATCTAAAATCAAGTTTAGAAAGTCACATGAGAACTCATACTGGAGAGAAACCATATCAGTGTTCAGAATGTCCCAAACGCTTTTCTGAAAAAATAAGTTTAGAAAGACACTTGAGAATTCATACTGGAGAGAAACCATTTCAGTGTTCAGAATGTCCAAAAAGGTTTAATCAGAAATCAGGTTTAAAAAGTCACATAAGAATTCATACTGGAGAGAAATCATTTCAGTGTTCAGAATGTCTGAAAAACTTTCCTGATAAATCATGTTTAGTAAGACACATAAGAACTCATACTGGAGAGAGACCATTTCGCTGTCCAGAATGTCTGAAAAAGTTTTCTGAAAAATCAAGTTTAGGAAGACATATGAAAACTCATACTGGAGAAAAACCATATCAGTGTCCAGAATGTCTGAAAAACTTTTCTGAAAAACAATATTTAATATGTCACATGAGAACTCATACTGGGGAGAAATCAAATCAGTGTTCAGAATGTTTGAAAAAGTTTTCTCAAAAATCAAGTTTAGTAAGACACATGAGAACTCATACTGGAGAGAAACCATATCATTGTCCAGAATGTTTGAAAAACTTTTCTGAAAAATCAAATTTAGTAACCCACATGAAAATTCATACTAGAGAGAAAAACAAACAAACAGATATCAGTGTTCAGAAAGTCTAAAAGATTTTAATGAAAAATCAAGTTTAGTAAGACACCTGAGAACTCATACTGGAGTGAAACAATATTAATGTTCAGTGTTAAAAAAGTTTTCAGAAAAATCTAATTTAGTAAAACACAATCATCCACTAAGAATATTAAATCAGGAAAATGTTATTAGGTATGCCCACTGGTAGCCACCTATGGGAAAAACTTTACATCTGTACTATAAGACAAATATCAAAACTGCCTTCTTAGAAAACCTGACAGGCTTATATAAGTTGGGAAGATAAAACAGGTGGGCCAGATGGTGCTGTCACCCCTGGTGCTGGTGCTGTCTTGGAGGAAGGGAGGGAGACAGGGGTTCTGGTGCTGGGAAAAAGGTATAGACAAAATATGCAAACTCCAGAGTTACGAAATAGCAATACCACTGGAAATGGCAAACAAGGGAAATGATGCTCTGAGGAATAGTTTAGATGCACTACCAGTAAAAACTGGTGGAGGCACCATTGATAGTACAGGTGCTGTAGATAGCGGTGAGTCAAAAAAAAGCACCAGTAGGGAGTGCAGACATGAAAAAAACCATGGCAAACAGAAATAAAACCTATGGGTATCTGCAGGCATGGAATATCTAGAATAACTGGTGAGATTGCAAATTTTGATCATCCCTGAGAATGTTGTGCCCACATGACAACAGGAGAATACAGCTTTCCTTCCTGTAATTTCTTTCACCCTGAAATGTGTTCTCTTAGTTCAGGAAAGACAATGCTCTATATACGTATTTTGTCAGGAGCACAACCTAAAGGGAGCAAGAAGATACAGATCTTTCAGACCATGGGAAGCAAAATAAACCTGAATGTCCATACATGATGCATGAGATCATTTCCTACAAAAGTTGTACATAATTCAGGCAGAAGCCCATTTGTTGCTGTGGGTGCAGACTACACAGAGTTTCATGATGTAGTTTTTGGTTATACAGTTTAACCCCAGATTTCGTCAGGTGTGGATATCGTGCAATTCAGATTTTGACCACTTTTTTGGGCGAAATTTTATCCCAGGTTTCATACATCCGCTTGGAAATTGTCCATACCAGATGTGTCCACCTGTTGCGGGACGTGGCTGCTCATGGAAATAAGTCACTCTGAGATTTTTGGGTTATCCCAGGTTTTCTACACATGTGCTGCTATGTGTGATAATCTATGTAACTTTATTTGTGTATACCTGAATAAACTTACTTATGTTTGTGACTCAAGTCTGCCTTTGTTACTTGTTCACTAAGAGTGTCCCTCTAGTCTTAACGCCATAGTAATAATACTAATATGTAATAATAATGACTTGGGCTCATTAAATGTCTTATGTTAATATAGACATTTTCATTAATCCATCAATGATATTTTCTTCAAAATTATATAAGAAACACGTTACATAGCATATAAACATGCAATGTTTATATGCTATGGAAGGGTGGTAGGCGGGCAGAGGGAAAACATTACGTTTTCTCTGGTCCAGCACCAGAGAAAACATGTATGAATCTGTGTTGGCCCAGTCACCCCCCTTAATACTTAATGCTTTTGTTTACAATTCTCGGCATGAATTATTCATTACTTCTCCCTTTGTTTATGATGCCATCTAAAGGTAGTTGTTAGAAACAATTAAACTCAGTGAACATGGTATGTCGATGGTAATAATATGGCTCTGGGCCACATTAAATATCATGTAGCTACGTAGATGTGTAGCAAGGCGGACTACATACCTGCATCTATTGGCTACCTGTACTACCTACCTACTACTCACCTCTCACCCTACATTAAGACTACAAATATTTTAAGGTAAGTAATGAATGTACTGTGTATGTATTTTACTTTTTATTGTGTTTTTTAATGCCTAGTTCTGTTACTAACTTAATATAAGTTAGTGTAAACTAGACAACCCTATGCCTGTTGGGGAATCTATTGTGGCTTTGGGGAAGTCCATGTGGGTTGGATGTAAGTGGCCAACAAGAGTCTTCAATAAAGGTATGTAATAGTGATTTAAATGTTCATTTATACATTAAAATTAGTCATTTATATTTATTTCTCATTGTTTTCTGCATATAAAGCTATAGCTATTCTCTATAAAATTGATTTTTGTTAATATTTTTGGGTTTCTGGAATTGATTAATTGAATTAAGTGTATTTTTGTAAGTGCTTTTGTAATGTATTTTGGGGGGTCTGAAACAGACTAATCTAATTTACATTATTCCTTATGGGAACAAATTCATTCAGTAATGGCACTCGAACAGCCTTCTGGAACGAAAACTTCAGTTTTTGTCCATTTCGGATTTCAACCAACCCTCGGGAATGGATTAAGGATGAAAACTGGGGTTCCACTGTACTCTAGTATAACAAGTCAACCATATCCTAAATGAAACAAACTGGGAAGATATCCTAAACATGGATCTGAACCTTGGCCTAGAAAGAATTAACTCTGTGGTGCTTTATGAAAAAGGAAGAGTTGTAAACTAGAAAGAGAGAGATGCTTCCTATACAGGTGAAGGCAAAGAATCACAGAGCTGCTGAAAGAGGCCAATATATCTAAAATACAAAGGGAGGCACTGGGCAGAGAAATAGCAAATATTGAGCTTAAGCTTAAGGAACCATACAGGAGACAAGAAACTCAGGAAGAAAAAAAAAATAATTTTCTTATGCCAACATCCAGTATTGGACCCTTACTTAGATGAGATGGGTCTTACACAGATGACAGCAAGGAAATGAATGAGATACTAAAGGCCCAGTATGACTCGGTGTTTAGTGAGCCAATAACCAGGCTGAATTGACAACCTATATGAATTTTTTTTTGTGACTCAGGCTCAGAATTTGGTTAATTCAATCATCTCTGATATTATCCAAACACCACATAACTTCGAAAAGGCAATAAATGACATGCCCATGCACTGTTCCAGGCCAAGACTCATGAAACTCTGTGTTCATCAAGAACTGCAAGAAGTCCTTGTCATGTGTTTTTAGCATTCTATGGAGAGGGAGCATGGACACAGTGGGCATCCCACAGTCACTTAAAACAACAGACATACCCCCACTCGACAAAGGGGGACAGTAAAGCAATAGCAAAGAATTACAGACCAATAGTGCTAATGTCCCATATCATAAAAATCTTAGAAAGAGTTCTAAGAAGCAGGATCACCACCTATCTAAATACCCATCAGTTACACAACCCAGGGCAACATGGGTTTATTGCAGGCTGCTCCTGCCTGTCCCAACTACTGGATGGCTGTGACAAGGTCTTGGATGCTCTATAGGACACACAAAATGCAGATGTAATATACAAAGATTTTTGCGAAAGCCTTTGATGAGTGCGACGATAGTGTACTAGTGCACAAAATGCATGATAAAGGAATAATGGGAAAAGTGGATATACAGTGGACCCCCGGTTAATGATTTTAATCCGTGCAAGAGGGGTAATTGTTATGCGAAATAATCGTTATGTGAATGAATTTTCCCCATAAGAAATAATGGAAATAAAATTAATCCGTGCAAGACACCCAAAAGTATGAAAAAAATTTTTTTTTTTACCACATGAAATATTAATTTTAATACACACAAACTGAAAAAGGCATGCACACTTACATGACACTTACTTTTATTGAAGATCTGGTGATGATTGATGGGATGGGAGGAGGGGAGAGCATTATCTTCTTACTGTTTAGAAGGGGAATCCCCTTCCATTAGGACTTGAGGTAGCAAGTCCTTTTCTGGGGTTACTTCCCTTCTTCTTTTAATGCCACTAGGGCCAGCTTCAGAGTCACTGGACTTCTTTCGCACAAGATATCTGTCCATAGTGGCCTGTACCTCTCGTTCCTTTATCACTTCCCTAAAGTGTTTCACAACATTGTCAGTGTACAGGTTGCCAACACGGCTTGCAATAGCTGTGTGAGGATGATTTTCATCCATGAAGGTTTGCACTTCAAGCCACTTTGCACAGATTTCCTTTATCTTTGTAGTAGGCAACTTTCTTCAATTTTCTCTCTCCCCTCCTCTGAGCCAGTTTCCCCAGGTCTGGCCTCTTGCTCTTGAAGTTGATCTATCAGCTCATCAGTGGTTAGTTCTTCATTGTCCTCCTCCACCAACTCTTCCACATCCTCCCCACTAACCTCCAACCCCAAGGACTTTCCCAATGCCACAATGGATTCCTCAACTGGCACAGGATTCTCAGGGTTAGCCTCAAACCCTTCAAAATCCCTTTTGTCTACACATTCTGGCCACAGTTTCTTCCAAGCAGAGTTCAAGGTCCTCTTAGTCACTTCCTCCCAAGCCTTACCTATAAGGTTTACACAATTGAGGATATTAAAGTGATCTCTCCAAAACTCTCTTAGAGTCAGTTGAGTTTCTGAGGTCATTACAAAGCACCTTTCAAACAGAGCTTTTGTGTACAGTTTCTTGAAGTTGGAAATAACCTGCTGGTCCATGGCTGCAGGAGAGGAGTGGTATTAGGAGGCAAAAACTTCACCTTAATGAAGCTCATGTCCCCATAAAGTCGCTCTGCCACGTCTGTAGGATGACCAGGGGCATTGTCTAACACCAGGAGGCACTTAAGTTCTAATTTCTTTTCAGTTAGGTAATCTTTCACATTGGGGGCAAATGCATGGTGTAACCAGTTATAGAAAAATTCCCTAGTGACCCATGCCTTACTGTTTGCCCTCCACAGCACACACAAATTATCCTTGAGGACATTCTTTTGCCTGAACGCTCTGGGAGTTTCAGAGTGATACACTAATAAAGGCTTCACTTTGCAATCACCAGTAGCATTGGCACACATGAGAAGAGTAAGCCTGTCTTTCATAGGCTTATGTCCTGGGAGTGCCTTTTCCTCCTGAGTAATGTAGGTCCTGCTTGGCATTTTCTTCCAGAACAGTTCTGTTTCATCACAATTAAACACTTGTTCAGGTTTCAGTCCTTCAGTTTCTATGTACTCCTTGAATTCCTGCACATATTTTTCAGCCGCTTTGTGGTCCGAACTGGCAGCCTCACCATGCCTTATCACACTATGGATGCCACTACGCTTCTTAAATCTCTCAAACCAACCTTTGCTGGCCTTAAATTCACTCACATCATCACTAGTTGCAGGCATTTTTTTAATTAAATCGTCATGCAACTTCCTAGCCTTTTCACATATGATCGCTTGAGAGACGCTATCTCCTGCTAGCTGTTTTTCATTTATCCACACCAATAAGAGTCTCTCAACATCTTCCATCACTTGCGATCTTTGTTTCGAAAACACAGTTAAACCTTTGGCAAGAACAGCTTCCTTGATTGTCTTTTTGGTGCCCACAATAGTAGCGATGGTTGATTGGGGTTTCTTGTACAACTTGACTAGGTCGGCGATACGCACTCCACTTTCATACTTATCAATGATCTCTTTCTTCATTTCAATGGGAATTCTTACCCTTATTGGTGTACGGTTGGCACTAGAAGCTTTCTTGGGGCCCATGGTCACTTATTTTCCAGAAACAGCACCGAAAACACTGTAATAATACGAAATATTCCGAGTGTATGCTTGGATGTTAGCGCGGAGGCTGGCTGGTAAACAATGGCACGGGCGGCACATGTGAGGCTGGCTGAGGGCGCACATTGGACGCGTCTCGGACGAAAATCGGTGAGCGGGTTTTTAATCGGTATGCGCGGCAAAAATTTTGCGATTAAAGTAAGCGGTATGCGAAATAATCGCTATGTGATGCCATCGTTATGCGGGGGTCCACTGTATAGCTTCCTAACAAATAGAACACAAAGAGTAGTAGTAAACAGAGTACTCACCCCCATCCAGTTCCTCATCCTCATATCTGACATATATATGTAAGCCACAGCACTGTGTCTTCCTTTGCAGATGACACCTGAGTTTGCATGACATTGTCCTCCATCAAAGACACAGCAAGACTCCAGGCGGACATCAACTAAATATTTAAATGGGCACAGAAAACAATGTGAAGTTCAGTGAAGAGAAATTTCAATTACTTCAATATGGGATACTTGAGGAAATTAAAACTATATCAGAGTATAAAACAAATTCTAACCTGGAAGTGATAATGTCAGATGATCTCAATTTCAAAGATCACAACACTGTATCTACCGTACCTGCTAGAAAAATGATAGGATGGATAATTAGAACCTTCAAAACTAGGGATGCCAAGCCGCCTGTGATGATTCTCCTCAGATTGCTTGTTCTCTCTAGGAAGGTGAAATTGCTGACCTGGAGAATGTACAGAGAACCTTCACGGCACACATAAGTATGATAAAACACCTAAATCACTGGGAACAGTTGAAATTCCTTGACCTGCATTCCCTAGAATGCAGGCGAGAAAGAT